CAGAGCTGGACGGAATCCCTGATGGCTATAGACTCTAGGTCTTGCGTTCTAAATGTATCTCTGAAGCCCCCTCCTCTGACAAGTGATTCTAAGATGGGATAAAGTGAGGAGGACATAGGGGCTGAAAACCGGAGAGGTTGGAGAAACTGACTGGGGAGGAGGTTGAGGGCAGGTCAGGTGGGGAAGGGGAAACCAGACATCAAGCTTGGAGGAGAAAGGGATGGAGCTGGAAGTGGGGAGAGGGGCTCTGTCAGCTGTGAAATAGCAGATTTCTGCAGCCCTGAGAGTGAAGTGAAGTACGAGAGTCTTGGCCTAGACAAGGGGTAGGGTGGGTGGCCTCAGAGTCCAGCCTGGGGCTGGGACTAACTCGGAGTCTCCTTGGGAGCGCTCCTGTTGACCCTCCGATTCAGGGCCAGCTGAGGCCTTCGGAGCCTCTGGGCTCACTGAACTGGAACATGTGGAAGTCAGGTGTGCTGGTGGTGATGCTGGAGAGTGCTGAGGTCGGACCAGTTCTGCTGAAGTCCCAGGTTTTTTTTGTGTTGTTTTTTTTTAATGCTGAAAATGAAAAAAGTTTTCCATCGAACTTCTTTTCAACTCAAGCAGCATTTTCTCCTCTGCCTTTCATTGCATGTTTTTTGAGGTAGTGTTTCATGTACCCCTTTTCAGAGGAGATACTTGGAAATGACTGACTTACTGAATTGTAGCTCATTTGGGGGGAACTAAGTCTCAGAATGTTTCAATGATCAATTAAAGAGCTGTGAACAGTTGTTACCCAGATCAGTAACCATTCAAAGGCATAGTAGGTGATTAATACTTGGAAGTCCATAGCCCAAACCGACAGCTGACCATGTACAGTATAATTCACTTTGGCTAACTCTGGAGGCCTAGGGAGTGTCTCTGTGGATTTCAGTTGTTCCTTCTTGTTGTGTATGGTTAGGCATGTGTCTGTCCCTCTGTCTCACTATCTTCCCATCCTTTTCCCACATCTTCCTCTTCTGTACATTTCTCTTTCTCTCCTGTTGTATCTTTCTCTTTGCAACTCCTCCCCATCCTTTCTTTACTGTCAATGATGTAGCTTTGTAGTATATTTTAATGTATTTATTGTGTCATTAAAATTTCATCTTCTCTTTTCTTAATTTGAAATCAGCTGAGTTCACTCATTTTGAATGTGTGTATATGTGCTTTACACACGAAACAAATAAACCAAACCCAACTGAATTGCTTTTTACTTCTGTGTGGTCTTCCATTGATCCCCCATCCTCCCTCTTCTGTGGTCAGTAGTGGCTCTTTATAGAAAAAAAAAAATTCTCAACTCACTGTCATGTGGCTATTGTTATAACAAAAAACAGCTATAACAATGGAAAAAGTTTCCACCCTAGTATTGTGGACACAAGGGACACCCTCTCCCAAGAGATGTGCCCTATTTCTTGACTTCCTGCCCTGGAAGCCTATCTGCAATGTATTCTCTAACAGACGCCTGCACTGTAAGGGGCTGGGGGTGGTGGTGGTGGAGCTGGGCTCTTGGTGGATCTGGTGATGCGTACAGTGGGGGAGGTGGGCAGGCTTATGTACTCTTCAGTCCTTGGAAGTGTCTCTGGATCCTTTAGTGTCCCTCTGAGAAGTTCAGTGCAGTGATTTTTCTTTGTTTCCCCAGGCTGAGCTAACCCACCCAGCAGGAGCAGCACCCAGGCCCCTTTGGAAAAGAATAAGTTGCTTCCCAACTTTCTGATTCTTGTTGGTTAGGACCCAAAGGGCATCTTGTGGTGACACAGGGAGGGTAGGCAGCCACCGACTGGTTGCTGGCGTGAAGTCCCAGCTGCTTTGATGGATGCATGCTTTAGCCATTTAAACTTTTCTTCTGACTCTGATTAATTACCCAGAAGATTGAGTCTTGGTGCTCATGGTCAGGAGGAAGTTTAGTGTGTAAAGTGGGCCTCCCAAGCAAGAAATCCCCTTGAAGTCTCCAGTTTTTTATGTTAAAAAGTCACATGAGTTTTGTGTTCTATAATATGTGCTGGTTTTAGTATAAAAGCATTTAAAATGCTTT